GCATTGAAAGTTTTGTTTTTTTTCTTCTGGCCTGGCCTGGAATTAATGTTTATTGCTTGTGTTCAAATTCTCCTGGCCACAGCTCAGTTATATGGTCCTACCCACAGTAAAGGAAGGCTGAGAAATGCAGGCTAACTGTGTGCCCCAAAGAAAAAGAAAGTGAGTTTGGGTGTACAGCCAGCCAGTCTCTGCCATACATGATTTCTCCTCTGTGCGAGTCCTCTGATGTTTGCTGAGGTGTGATTTCTGGCAAAAGGTTTTTCCACATTCATTACATTCATAGGGCTTCTCTCCTGTGTGAGTTCTTTGATGTACAGTGAGGGCTGACTTCTGGAAGAAAGTTTTCCTACATTCTTTACATCCATAGGGCTTCTCTCCTGTGTGTGTTCTCTGATGTCTATTGAGGGTTGACTTTTCACAAAAGGTTTTCTGACATTCGTCACATTTATAAGATTTCTCACCTGTGTGAGTTCTCTGGTGTACAGTGAGTTTCGACTTCTGGTAGAAAGTTTTACCACACTCTTTACATTCATAGGGTTTCTCACCTGTGTGAAGTCGCAGATGTACAGTGAGTTTTGGCTTCACACAGAAGGATTTCCCACATTCATTACATTTATAAGGTTTATCTCTTGTGTGAGTTCTCTGATGTACAGTGAGGGCTGGCCGGTGTCCAAAGGATTTCCCATATTCTTTACATGCATAAGGTCTCTCTCCTTTGTGAGTTCTCTGATGTGCAGTGAGTACCGACTTCTTATGGAAGGTTTTACCACAATCATTGCATTCATGAGGTGTCTCCCTATTGTGAATCCTTTGATGAACAGTGAGGGCTGACTTCTGGCAGAATGATTTCCCAAATTCATTACATTCATAGGGCTTTCCCCCAGTGTGGATTCTCTGATGAATAGTATGGCCTGATTTATGGCAGAAGGGTTTCTCACATTCATCACGTGCATAGGGTTTCTCTCCAGTGTGTACTTTCTGATGTTTAGTGAGATTAGACTTTTTATAGAACGTTCTACCGCATACATCACATTCAAACATTTTCTCTAACTGAATTCTCTGAAGCTGAGTGGGATGTAATTTCTGGCAGAAATTATTCCCACTTTGATTACATTTACACTGTTGCTTCTGGAGATCAGCTCTGTGAAGATTCAACTGTGTTGGTTTCTTACAAAAGGTATTCCCCCATTTGTTACATCTATAGTGATTCTCCCCTACGAGAGTTCTCTCTTGGGCAATGAGAGCTGACTTACCACAGGCCTTCCAATATATCTTATATTTGTAAGCCATCTCACCCATATGAACCATCCTATGTGTAAAGAATATTGCTTCCTTGATGAAGTCTCTCCCTTGTCTGTTACATTCAAAAGGTTGCTGCAGAGTTTGATTCTTCTTCTGATGCCTAGGGTACTCAGCATATCTGAGGGATTTCCCAGTTCTATTACTATCCTCCGGTTTCTCTCCAGCATGCATCTCATCAGGCTCACTAAGGAGAAACGCGTTCTTAGACATATTCAACATTTCTGGCTTCATTTCTGAATAGTTACTATCATTTATCATCAGCTTTGAAATATGAATTGGGCTCAAATTAAACGTTTTTCCTAAGTCAGCTGTCCCCTTAGTTGACGTTTCGTTGCTGGTGATTACAACTTGCCACAAACGTCTATCGTGATTTTCCTGGCTGGTCTCAATCATGTCATCCACAATCTGGACATCTAAAAGGAGATAAACATAATTACAGGTCATACCTTTGAATCACATATAAGTATTTCCTATGGAATAGTTTGTAAAGGTAAAGAAGTTTCTTTTCATCCTAGCAGGATATGACTCTTTAAAAAATCAATAACGGGGGACTTCCCTGGTGGCGCAATGGTTAAGAATCAGCCTGCCGATGCAGGGGATACGGGTTCAAGGCCTGGTCCTGGAAGATCCCACGTGCCGCAGAGCAACTAAGATCCTACATGCTGTGCACCCCAACTACTGAGCCTGTGTTCTAGAGCCTGTGAGCCACACCTACTGAGCCTGCGTGCCACAGCTACAAAGCTCACATGCCTAGAGCCCGTGCTCTACAACAAAGAGAAGCCACCACAGTGAGAAGCCCACGCACCACAACGAAGAGTAGCCCCCGCTCACCACAACTAGAGAAAGCCCACGCTCAGCAACAAAGACCCAACGCAGCCAAAAATAAATAAATATTTTTAAAAATCAATAATGGGTACTGATTTTATGTGACTTTTCTCCCTAATGAATTAATGTAAGAACCTTCATCGATAGGTTTTCTAATGTCAAATTATTGGGTTTTTTGTTTTTGTTTGGTTTTGCTTACGTTTTTTTCTTTTCTTTTAAATTCTTTTCAATGAGGAAGTATTAGGTCAAAATGTTTACTTACTGCCAAAATGTAGATCTCAGCTGACAGCTTTTCATCTACCATTGGTTTTCCATTCATTATCTCTACCTTTCTTCTTATAATTGTGGGTAACTTGTGCTAGCCCTTTTCTGATAGCTCAGCTTTGAAGATGGCATGATTTTCCTGGATAAGTTACTTACAGGATATGGGAGAGGGCCACTTGTCTGTCACCTAAACAAGAATACTGCTTAGAGACAAGAACTTTACACCTATGTTTGTTTAGTTTTTACTTCTCCCTGGGGAACAGCTATAGGCACCTGTGGGTTTTTCAAAGGCTTAATCTTTTTTTCCATGCTAGACAAGGGAGCTTTCTGCAAATTCCTAACAATACTATACCCTTGGCTTCTCAGAACCCTAACAAGTTCACGAAACTAATTCGTCACTTTGTGCAACTCCTCCCTGCTGGTCTGAAGGATTTAGGTTCTGCAACCCAGCATGTGCCCACCACCTTCAAAAAGCTTTCTCTGGGTGCTTCTGAGACCAACAGCCAAGGCATTTTCACCTCACTTCATGGTGCGAGTGACTCTACTTGATAATTCACTGCTTCTGAAGATATTAACTTTACTGTACTTTACAGTTTCAGCTGTCCCTTAGTTGTATTGAAACTGGAGTCCCATGTATACTTCTCATTCTTTTTTTTAAAAAAAAAAAAACAATGATCTTCAAAAGAGAAAGTTTAAAAATGTTAATTTCAAACTCCACTCCCAAAGTACGAAATTCTTGGTTTCACTGGCCTTGGACCCACAGTCTCTAGTTTATCCTCCCATGTCACAGGCCACCACTTTCCACGGTGAACAGTTTTCTGGGTCCTTCTCAGCCTCATGGTTTCTGATGTAGTGATTCATGAGACCTGTACCTGGACCACTTCTCTCATGGTCTTAATAGGTCTGTAGGCCACCTCCTCTACTCCTACCAGTCTTGAGTTAATGATTTCCTAATTTGCATCTCCAGCAGTGATGTCCATCTCCTACTCCAGATTTTACATGCATGCATATGTTCCATGTCAAAATGGAATACAGTCATCTCAAATGTAAGCTTTACCAACATAAACACTTAATCTCCCCGAAATGTGCCTTCTTAACACCCTTCTGGAAACACTATACTCTTATTTTCCTCTCTCTCATCCTTGTTTGACACTTTTGTGGCTCTGATTTCACTACTAAACATGTACATTTGTTTCATTTTTCTCTTTCAACAAAATATAAGCTCTATATAAAAAGGACATTTCGGGACTTCCCTGGTGGCACAGTGGTTAAGAATCCACTTGCCAATGCAGCAGACACGGGTTCGATCCCTGGTCCAGGGAGATCCCACATGCCGCAGAGCAAGTAAGCTCATGTGCCACAGCTACTGAGCCTGCACTCTAGAGCCCATGAGCCACAACTACTGAAGCCTGTGCACCTAGAGCCTGTGCTCCGCAACAAGAGAAGCCATAGCAACGAGAAGCCTGTGCACCGCAACAAAAAGTAGCCCCCGCTCACCACAACTAGAGAAAGCCCATGTGCAGCAACAAAGACCCAATGCAGCCAGAAATAAAAATAAATTAATTTTAAACAGGACATTTCTTTGATTACTGCTGTTATCCACACATTTACAAAATTTACCAGTGTGTAAAACTTCCCAATTAACATGTTAAAAGAATAAATGAATGTACGACTAAATGCCCAAAGGAAAACAGTCTCTGAGAATGAACAAAAAGGTGGCCTATTGGGACTTCCCTGGTGGTCCAGTGGTTAAGAATCCTTCTTGCAATGCAGGGGACGCCAGTTCAATTCCTGGTCGGGGAACTAAGATCCCACATGCTGTGGGGCAACTAAGCCTGTGCGCCTCACCTAGAGAGAAGCCCATGCACCACAACAAATCGAAGATCCCACGTGCTACAACTAAGATCTCATGCAGCCAAAAAATAAATAAATATTTTTTAAAAACCAAAAAAGGCGGCCTACTGAGAATCTAGGGACAGTGACTAACCAAGAAAAAATTCCAAGAGGAGGCAGGTGGGCACCGGTTTTTGGTAAGTCTAAGAAACTATTCAGCAATTAACAAAAAGGGGGAGGTTTACATGTGAGAGCCATATTTGGAGACTGAATAATGCATGAGTCTGACACATGCAGACTAAAGTCTGTCCCAAGGTATGAACTTGGAGAAAACCACTGGTGAAAAAGAGCTCAGCATGGCCAACATCTGCTGTGCACTCGTCTTCCCAGCCTCCCTGCTCAGCGTGCACTGACTGGCCCGGGAAACCCTGGTCTGGGGTTTTTCTTTTACAGTCCATGGTGCTGCTCCTTGCTCCAACTTGATGATCACCTCAGGCTTGGTAATGCAATGCCCTGTTGATGAGAAATACTGTAGGACTTTTGCCAAACTGTTTATGTTTCATGGGCTCTTGAAAAATGCCAACAGCACAGCCTCGAGAATAGTGCAATGAAGGGCCAATCTGAACCTCTGACTGGAGGGGTGAACGCAAGTTCTTCCTGGCCCAGAATCTTAAACCTAAGTAGCATTTCATTTCACAAACAACTGTACATTTACCAATGAAGAAAAACGTGCTTGCACTTGGCAGTTACTAGGGGAGTTTTGCTCACCCAGTGACACCAGGCTACTGTAGTTCTCCAGCATGACATCCCTGTATAGGGTCCTCTGAGCATCATCCAGGTCCTGCCACTCCTCCCAGGTGAAGTTCACAGCCACATCCTCAAATGACACCAACCCCTGTAATGGTACATTTTTCCTCAATTCAAGGCATCAGCCTGGGTCAAAAGAACAGGAAGTCTAGGAATTCATTCTTATGTGTGTGTTTTATCATACACAGGATATACCATACCATGCTTTGTACTCTATATTGTGGGAAAAGGAGAAATCATCATAGAAATACCCTACGTCTGTGTTAATTTAGTAGTTCTTCAAAGTACCATCATAGTTTCCCTTATAAATCTGGAATGGTCCTCATTGCCAAAGATACAAGGAACATATGAGCTGGTATGGAGACATAAGTACAAACACTTACCTGGAATAATGTGTTAGATGAACCAGGTTACACACATGTTTAAGGTAGCCTGGGGTATCAAGGGAGAAAAAGAATAGTTGTACTTTGTACTGTCAGGTTGCACTTCACTGAAGAGCTAAACATGTCAGCTGTTCAGTGTGAACCACATGTTCTCATGAATATGAGGCAAGAGCAGAAGTCAAGCTGAGAGGCATAAAGAACAGATGCCACTTTAATAGAAGTACAAGAAGCACCACATCCAGGCGTGCTCCTGGGCTGAGATAAGTGATAAGGACAGTAAAGGTATTCAAGGAACTGATTATAAAGTTACCCTGCATTTAAATATATGACCTAACTCCATCAATAAAAAACCTTACGTGCTCACCATTTTTTAAAAAAAAAAGTATGTACACATGCATCCTAGAATTTTCTTCTTACTACCTAAGGAATTGCTTATGTCTACCCAAGAGTGAACATGACCCACTTCCTAAACAACAGGGAGTGAATGATGAGGGGCTGCTAACGAGAGGTAAGCTACATAACCAGATGTGCCCTTTAACAGTCATCGTTCAGCAG